AAATGTTTTTCAAGTGCGTAAATAAATCCAAATTAACTAACCCTGGGTCGTCAGTGCCCGTGTAGGTGTAGCATGTATGTGTACAGTCTCAAAAGAGGAACACTTGCTGAAGAGATGGAGCCCCAACTTCACTGGTGTTGTGCAGAGTTGTCCGCAGCTTTCATGACTTTCGGATAATTTTATCACCGTTAATAAACCACAGAAAGAATATTTCTATCATTTTTAAACAGCTGGTTACTTGAAATAGACCCGTGAGGAGCAATAAATTTGTCGGCAGCATGGCATGCACACAAAACTCTGCGGTGACCGGTGAATGACAGGCGAGAGAGAAAAAGGTCTTCAAAAAGCCTCAGTTTAGAAGGAAATTTACAGTGTAAGTTGAATGAATAGAGACTACAGCTCTGCAGAAGACTAGTTTCAGCGAAAAACATGCACTAACTAATGGTAAATCTTTTAGGCTTTTGGTTGTTGGGAGTCTGAACACTTATGCTGGATTATGGGGGATGAGGTGTTTTGAGTAGGTTTTAGAGTAATTCAGTCCCCTTTGGATCTCTCGGCCACGCCCTTTTTTTCCATGATCCATTCCATAAGAAATAAGATTTTGTGCATTTGCTTGTCTTCCACAGTGAGTATTATTATTATATGGACTCTCTTGACACTTTCTCCTTCCAAAATCAGTATGGGTGTAGGTCTTCTGTGGGGTAACATCTGAGGCAAAAAGTATATGCCTTTCTGAGTGAGAGTCCTGCAAGCTAGGGGATACTGCTGTCAAAAAGAAATAAAAAAGATAGGGAGTTTGCTGACCCCATGCAGGTGTGTTTCTGCAACAGGGGTAGTTCCCATGTGCTGAACCATTTTGTCCTTCTCTAAGCATCTGGTCCTGGCATGGTGGATCATCAGGCCATGCAGTTTCTGTTTAGGTTTGCAGGGATTGTTACCTTTATCTTAAGCTTTCATGGAGGATTTGTTTTCATGGGATTTCTCATATCTGACTGCTCCTTCTTCTGGAGGATGTAGATTAGCTGGCAAACCTTGGTGCAATACAGTTCTTAAATGTCTATGTTCACCCAGCAAGTATTTATTGTAATAAAATTGTTATTGCAGGTCATTGTACATATCAGTACTGTTTGTATGTGAACCTGTGTAGATCTGTAAATGCAAAGATTTGACTTCCATATAAATATTTCCATGGCAATCAAGATGAGGCTACAAGCCAAAAAACACAGATACATACATATATACATACATAATGTGTAGGTCAGTATAACATAGTTTCGAGATATTTGCTCTCTAGATAAGACAAGTTCCACTGTAATCCCCCACAAACACTGTCACTTCCATGCAGCCCACAAGGTCTTCTTGTTTGTTTGCTTTTTGACTTTTAAATTGCTGCTTTAAATTTGTCAGTCGAACACACAATCTCACCTCTTTCTAAACAGCTGCAGAATAAAGCAAAGCAGTTTGAGATATGTTTGCCACTTAACAAAAACCTATGTATAAGAGGGGTGCTAACGAGGTCACTGTTCACAACTATAATGAAGAAAAATTAATCAACGAGTAGTCTAGTAAATACAATAATTTACAAACTGCCATTGAACACTCACCACTCACTATATATGGATGACCCAAGGTCTGAACAATTAATCAAAGTTTTATTGAAATTGCAATATGACGTACTACAATTTAAAATTTTTGTTAAAGGTGATATTTGTGTTAAAATAGCATTTTAACTTAAATAGTGTCGTGCTGCAGAGATGTCCTGGCCTACACATCATATTCTAGAGACTTAAAAAAACATCTTTGATTATACAGATCCAGCAAAAATCACACCATAATAATAATTAATGTTTTTCAATGAAAATGAGAATTATGATATAAAAAGGAGCATTCGCTCTTGCAACGCAAATCATATTGAAATTGCAATATTAGTCAGAATGTTCGTAATTAGATTTTATTTCGAAATTGTTCAGCCCTAGTTGAGAAAAACTTATAGGCAACATTTGTCAACTATGAACAACAAAAATAGACAAATCATCTGTGCTCAAACTGCATGTGCATCTATCAAAGAAAAAAAGCTAAATTATTTAATATATCAAGGGAAATACACTGAGAACTCAAGCTGCCTTGATGAATCATGACAGCGGTCACAAGCTGAAACTAACCAACAGGGGACATGATAGATAGTGTACAGTTTATAAGGAACTGACAAATAATAAATTGGTTTGCAATGAACTTCGATGTGGTTACTTTAGAGTTAGAGTTTAAGTCATTTTTCATTGACTAGGATGTTTACATTATTTTATAATTTTAAAAAAGGGCCTAATTCCCCTTTAAAATGTAAATGTCCCAATTGTCCTTCCAACATTATGCTGCACAACAAAGGTACTTAACAATAACTAAAAACAACCGAAGGGCATGTATGCACCGATGCATATAGCTAATTTGTCTGCATACTGCTTGCAGACATTCAGTGACCCATTAGCAGTGCACACCTCTCTTTGGTCTGCCCTGTATCAAACCACACCATAACAGAGCAGATGCAGAGATTCAAGGCAACGAGAGACTAATGGTGAGCTGACACATGCTTTTCAGAGAAGACTATGACAGGGTGAGAAGTCCGCAGAGAAAATGCAAGCAGTCATAGAAGGGCAGAAGAGAAAAGGCTTGTCCACTCGTATTCTTCGCCTGCACAATACCATCAAAAGACGAAATGGAAAGAATCAGGGTGGGGACAAAGACATTTAATTTTTTCTCTTCGAAGAAGAGAATACTTTAAACCCCACTCTAAATATGTAAAGACTAGAAATTGTGTAAGATTGCAATTGAGCGGCCATTTGCCAACCTGTTTTTTTTTTATTCAGAAATACCGCTCAAGGTCAGTGATACAGTAAGAAGATCTGGGCTGTAAGGCCAGAGTACACAGATAGTACCCCTGTCCTTACCATTCTCATAAATCATGCATGGTACTCTGGTCACCATTGCATTTACTTTTTTTTGATTAGCAATGACATCAGTGAGCCTCATTCATATTCCTGAATGACAAGATAAAATCACACTCTGTGTGAAGCAGATAAACACGTCACCCATTTTCTGCATTGACTATCTTAGTAATATTCAATTTCACTCGAAGATTTAGCATCTGTCACAATAGATCAAAGTTAAACTTGTGCTTATATGTATGAGATATTTGTCTTTAAATAGACTGAATTGCAGTCTGTTTTAAAAAATATTTCAACATCCCATTGGAAAAGCCTACACGCCATATCCATTTGTAAATTCACGTAATTAGGGACACAAGTGGGAGGTCACAAAGGAGCTACCGATTGACACTTAAGCTTTCATTCTGACAACCTGCTTTTTACCATGCCCATACACACTAGATTGATACCCAATGTGTCTGACATATGCAGCCAGCACAAATTAACAGATGTGGAGGAAGTGAAAATGGAAGCTGTAATTACTGTATCATTGTAACTACTCAGACTGCAATCCAAGCTGCCTCAGTCCCATGGCATTAATTCACTTAGAGGGATGTGTAATTTGTGTTGGTGCAATAAAAGCAGAATCATTCTAATCTTCACTATCACATTTAATATTTTTTTTAAAGCTACAACAACGTAGTGGTAAACAGCAAAAGAGGTTCTAAAAACCACTACACTGAAAATATGAAGCGCTCTTTCAAAAACACAAGAATATGCAGAGTCTGTTCAGCCCCCACGTATCATGACAACATGATGAATATTTGGACAGAGACTGGATACACGTCTCATAATGGGATTTCCTTTTTGAAATTCAAATGATACATTTCTTTACATCACTGTTTATTGTTTAAAAAGTTTATTATAATTTGGAATTTAATTTCCCAATTGTAAAGCGATATAGATGCACTAATGTATAAATAATAAACTTACATGCTTTTTTGCTCAGTCCAAGTCGTCATTATGTAAACAAAAACACTGATGAGGCCTGTCTTCACAATAAAAAGTGTCAGTGTCATTTCTCTTACTTTGCATGAGGCTCTTTTAAGAGTGTGTCCCACTGATATAGCTGTGACTTAAATCACATGATTGATGTGAGAAGTAGTGCTTGAAGGTTTTAGCAAGTTAGCAAGTTCCCCAGAGTCAAAATCAAATAGGGGTTTAAAGTTCTCTGACAATTACCCTCTCTCCAGTTATCGCTGCTTGGCAGCAATCTCTGTTTTATATCACCGCAAGGTCAACAGCTCAGCAGTGGCATAGGATGTGTCAAGTTTGCAAATATTTGAGGGAGCCATTTAAAGAGGTACCATGGCATTTTTGGCTGCTAATTAAAACAGTTTTTATGAGCAGAAAGAATGTGTCACTGATATTGGCAGTAATTGTTTTCAGCACAGTCAGAAGCACAGTAGCGTGGTTATATTGTGACCAAGCCCTTTTATTGATTGGCTGATTTCATTACTTGTGAGGAAAGTCCCCACAATCCAATTTTATGCAAGGAAGATGGCTTATATCTTTGTGAAAATTCTGATTTCCACTGGCTTTGCAAAAGTTATGAAAGGTTTTATGATGTATTGAGCTCATACTGTAGGTGATGTTGAAAAAAAGAGCCAAAATTCTTTCCTAATTCTATGGTCATAATTTGACCTTGTGAATTAAATAACAATGGTTCATTGAGCTGTTGTGGTACAGTATTTTAAGAAACACTTTTTCATACTTTAATATAGTCTAAAAAGTACTTATTACTGTACTGTATCTGTTTCATTTTTTGTGTTCAGCTGGAATTATTGGCATATTATATTATTGGCATAACATTCATAAAAATCAAAATGCAATAACGGACTGAATGGAATTCTGATTTGGTGCATTTTCTTGACGTAGAAATTAATTACAGACATCATTTCCATAACTCTTTGCTGGATATTTCCATCCATTATGAGTATGATTCAGCATTGTTCAAAACTGTCAGCCATTTCTGTATCACCCTTTCACTCTACCAACCCCAGTTTTTCCATGTCTCCACAGGTAAGCAGTAGGATGGTGTCTGCTGAGGCAGGGGGGCACAGCTACTTGGTGGCATGCTGGCAGCCCATCCTGATCCTGATGCTGGGCACTGTCCTTTCTGGCTCCACCACCGGTTGTCCCTCCCGATGTGACTGCAACGCTCAGGAGCGTTCAGTTGTGTGCCATCGACGGAGACTGGCAGCTCTTCCTGAGGGTATTCCCACTGAAACAAGGTTGTTAGACCTCAGCAAGAACCGTCTGAAAACTCTGGGGCCTGAGGAGTTCATTAATTACCCTCAACTGGAGGAGCTGCAACTTAACGAAAACACAATTTCATCCATTGAGCCTGGGGCTTTCAGCAACCTTATGAACCTTCGAACTCTGGGCTTGCGCAACAACCAGCTGAAGCTCATCCAGCTGGGGGTGTTCACAGGCTTGACCAACCTCACACAGCTGGATATAAGTGAGAACAAAATTGTCATTCTGCTCGACTATATGTTCCAGGAGCTGTACAACCTGAGGGCTCTGGAGGTTGGCGACAATGACCTGGTATTCATCTCACCCCGATCATTTCATGGCCTCAGCAACCTTGAAAGCCTCAACATTGAGGGATGCAACCTGGCCTCAGTGCCCACTGATGCCCTTAGCCATCTGCATAACCTGCTGTCACTTCGATTACGCTATCTCAACGTCACTGTCATAAGGGATTACTCCTTTAAGAGGCTGTATCGGCTCAGAGTGCTGGAGATTTCTCATATGCCTGCCCTGGACACCATGACTCAAAAATGCTTGTTTGGACTGAACCTCACATCCTTGTCCATCACAAACTGTAACCTTACTGCCATCCCCTACCAAGCCATCAGTCACCTAAGATATCTTCGGTTTTTAAATCTGTCTTTCAATCCCATTTTAACTGTGGAAGGGAACCAACTGTTCAATCTACAGAAGCTCCAAGCTTTTCATTTGGCTGGTGGGAGATTAGCTGCCATTGAGCCCTACTCTTTCCGAGGACTCAACCATCTCCGTGTACTCAATATATCCAGCAATAGCTTGAGCACCCTGGAGGAGTCGGTGTTCCACTCAGTAGGAAACCTGGAGACCCTGGCTTTGTATGACAACCCTTTGGCCTGCGACTGTCGTTTGCTCTGGGTCTTCCGCCGGCGGTGGAGGCTCAACTTTAACAGACAACAGCCCATGTGTGCGTCACCTGAGGTCGTGCAAGGAAAAGAGTTCAAGGACTTCCCAGACATCCTCCCCTCTGACTATTTTATTTGTCAGAAATCAAGGATCGTGGATTATAAGGTTCAAGAGAGCCATGTAGATGAAGGAACTACAGTTCATTTTGCTTGCCAAGCTGAGGGTGATCCAGTCCCTGTGATAATGTGGCTAACCCCTAAGAAGGAATACATCACTACCAAAACTGTGGGGTCAAGACTTTCTGTGTCCAATGAGGGCACATTAGAGGTACGTTACTCCCAAATCCAGGATAACGGCACCTACTTGTGCATTGCAAGCAATGCAGCTGGCAATGACACCAAAGTTGCTCACCTTTTTGTCCATAGCTACTCTCCCAATTGGCCCCACCAGCCAAACAAGACATTTGCATTCATTTCCAACCAGCCCAGCGATGAAGGTGCTAATGTAACCCGGGCAACAGTTCCATTTCCGTTTGATGTAAAGACACTTATCATAGCAACCACCATGGGATTTATCTCTTTCCTCGGAGTTGTCCTCTTCTGTCTTGTAATATTATTCCTCTGGAGTAGAGGGAAAGACAATACTAAGTCAAGTATAGAGGTTGAATATGTTCCACGTAAAGAGGAAACAGAAGAGGCCAGTCCAACTGAGGCACCCATACAATTCAATATGAAAATCATGTGAACTTCAAACAGGAGGCCATGTAAGCTTACAAACTGAAGTCGGGATGCATTTTATCCTCGCTTCAAATATGTTTATGAGCGATAGGAATTGCACAGCAGCAAACGCATCTTGACACTATACCCTAAACATTTTTTTTTACTTCAGGGACTGAATCTTAAAAAGCAAATTTTGAATTTAAAATATTTAAATTTCTGTAAATGTGTATTGGCAATTCTCAATCAGTATGTTAACATGCATTAAAACAATTGGATTACTGTGTGTAACTAAATTAAGGTAATGGTTTGAATAAAGCACATGGATCACAGTAGACTAATTTGCCCAGTAAATCGAGTTTACATGATAGGTGGGCTACTGTCTGGAAGGATGTAGACAGGTATACAGGTATAGCCTAATTCTTCTATCAGCGCAAAATAACAGAAAGATGGATAGGGTACAAAGCACAATAACCCACTATTAGAACCCAAGTTTTGTCCCATCATAAGCAGTTAAGTATAATATGAGTGTACATGTTTAGATAAATAGAAAACAATAGAGAGATCCATGTTATGTTTTGAGAGAAAAAAGGTGTAGCCTACATTCAAGAAAGAAGTTGTACAATTATACATATTTACAAAGATAAATATATTTTTGAGAACAATTGCCATATTACAAGACTAAATTAATAATTAAGAAAAAGGAAATAATATTCAAGAAGTTGTGTTTTGAGAGTTGTAAAACTACCAGAAATTGTCATGTTAAAAAAAAAAAAAAAAACACTTTTGGATTGACTGAAATTTAAGAATTAAGAATCAGTTGGTGGGTTAGAGACAAAGGTAAAGTATACTTCACCACCCGTCACATGTCTGTGACCAATGGCCTTTAACAACTTTCCAGAATCATTCAATTGTGTTTTGATGTTTTCTCTGCACACTTGTCCAAAATTTCAAACAGTAGCCTTTATCTCTGTTGACATACAAGTATTATTGTCAACTGGGCGTCAGTTTTAATTAATCAGTTATAATAACTGGAGTATTTCCTTAATCTAGCATCAGTTGATTTAGAAGTGGGAATGTTAACACGCTGAATGAGAAAAATAAGCCAGTCCAACTTCTTTCTGCCTACAAAGGAAGTCATTAAATGTATAGAGATGTTCGGCTATACATATTTTTTCTGTATTTTATTCTTTCCTTGTACATTATCCTATTATGGCACAATAGTAATGCTTGTAATGGTTGTGGTTTTTGAACATATTACAATCTAAAGAGCAGATTAAATATTCAGTTTTTGAATTAACTGAACCACAAGAGTTTTGCTGTTTTTCAGTGTGTAAAAAAGACCCTTGAAGATAATCAAATTAACAATTTATCATGAAGTGTGTTTACCCATTTGGCAGTTTAATAAGTGCAAGTACTCTGTCCAAGTCCTGAGGTTATATTGTCACCGGTGCATCTCAAAAAGGGTGACATTATTCTTTTGTTGCCTTAAGTAACCAATTTTCCAGATTTCAGCTTAGCAATACCCAACGTTTATGTGTAAAATGGAGTTTTATGCCTCATAAGGATTTTATGTTGTCTAATTAATTTTACAGTCAAAGTCTGCTCTGAAGATAATGTGTTCATTAACTCTTAAAATACTTGTTTAAAAGGGATGGGCAAATTAAAATAAATAACATTTTATACTACGGGGTGCTTATTTTATGCTAATCTAGTATAAAAATAAATGAGAAGACACATGTTTCATGTCTAAGAGAGGGGATATCCTGTGCTGCAAGTAACACAATGTTCAGAGCTTATTTGTTTACTTAGGAGGCACACAGTGAAGCACACTTGTAGAATACCCCTCAAATACTCATCTCACTGCAGATAATATCTGTACTTGCCAGTGTAATCAGAAAATCCTACTTCCTAGCATACACATGTCCATGTCCTCCCGTTTTTTCCCCATTTTTTTACGGTTATCTGCCCGTATCCAGAGATGGGGACTTGAGTTTGAGACTGTGACTCAAGTCCGACTTAAGTCGCACACACAGTGACTTCAGACTCGACTTGAAACTTGAGATGCGGAAGTCGTGAACAATGTTTATTTTTAGGAAACGTCTGATGAGCTTGATGTTATTCCCCTCCCTCCATTACCTATAACCTGCCTATGTAACACGTAGTATCAGCTGCGCGCAGCCACACAGGGAGGACAACAAACACCGGCAGCTGCTGTGTTATTCATCATAAACTTTGGCGTAACAGGCTACAGGTTTATGTTGATCATGTAATATTACAGTTTTATTTAGTAAACGTTACACTGGGTTTGAGAGTCTGCAGGGTGTGTTGACTTACAGTAGTTTAAGCTGTCATTAATTGCATTGCACATTACATAGTTGTGCTCTGTAAGTGAAAAACAGATTACAGTTGCAGAATTCCATATAGCTGTGCAGTGTTATAAGCAGCCTGGATTGAACACAGCAGGTGATACAACATTCATTATAACCACGAGTGACTTGAGACTTGACTTGGACTCTTGCTCAAAGACTTGTGAGCATCTCTGCCTGTATCCTCCCGTTTAAATATTTTCCCATTTTTAACATTTCTAAAAAAAAATTTTTGAAATCTGCCTTGTAAATTTTAAATGTTTACTAAGCTCCCCTCCGGTAAAGCCAGTAGTATGTAGAACATTAGCTGTAACAGTGACGGGAAGTCATCGACACCCGCCAAGTTTACAAGTTAGTACATTAATAAATAACCAATTTAGATTGTTTTCTTGCACAAGGATTTAATTAATGAAAACAACCCAGGGTATTAATATTAGTCCTATACATTTGGTAAGCTATATATGAAATTATAATGAATATGGTAACTATAAGGAATATATTGACATTATACGTATATGTAGGGGGGGGGTGTTTAACAGGCATGGTCCAAATTTGCAGGGATCTATGTATTTGTGCACTGTAAACCACAATGGCAAATTAAGATTATTGAGTTTAGCATGGGACCGGAAGTGAACACAAAAAATTACTGTATAGGCTACTATGTACAGTAAGTGTGTTAGCTGTGGTAATTCTAAAGCCATGTTAGCAGTCATGAGTGCTTCTAAATGGTCAGTCGTAGTGACAACAGATGCTTAAAACAGAAACAGCCGTCACTGACACTGGGAACGCAACATTACACTAAAAGCCTCAAGGCATAAAGATCACATGTTTTCACAAGGACACCAAAGAAAAATTTGTTTGATTGTGGACAGATTAGCAAAAATATTTTAGTCATTATTACATAAAATAAACATGACATCATGTGGCATGGCATGACAAATTCAAAGAGTTTATGCAGGTTCATATGTCTTTTCAAATATTTTATTAGTTAATTATCCATGCTTTCCAGCAAATGTTTTGAGATGAAAAAGCAACCACAGATCTTTTTGTATCCATATAGCTAGTTAACTTGCCTCATATTTCTGAGGATAAGCCTTTGAACATGACAGAGAACTAGTTAGGACCTGTTGCGTCTGGGTTATATGCTTGGATGGATGAAGCAATAAAAAGGTAGCAATAACTAACACTCATAAAAGCAAGAAAGCATGAAGACAAAAGGAAAATGGGTTTCAAGAAGGCAAAAAGCATCCATACATAAAATAGTTTTGTTGCTGCGGCTTGCTGTTGTCATAGAGAAAAATCCCTCACTTCTACCTCAATGATGTACTTGTTTCTGTGCGATTGTTGAACACTGGTTTAAAGCCGCCTATTTTCTTTAGTTGTGGTGGGCTGACACCATAATTGGGCGTCTACTGTGATTGATGAAAATTTTATTCCACTAGCACACTCCATTATTGGACACTGGAAACATAGCAGGATGCTCCCTAGTACATTAGCTGGTTTGAAAGAGTGTAAGGATAGAATTGTGTTTATACCTCAATCTCAAGGAAGAGTAACTTGCAGGCCACACTTTATAGAACTACAGCTGCACTGTAGCTTATAAAGAAACAAACAGTAGGCAGCCAGACATCGCTGAGTAAAGAATCATAGAAAAAGAGGCTGACATGGATGAATTAATTGTGTTTATTCTTCATCAATAATGAGTCACTTATTGGCAGCAGAATTACGCACAAGCTGGAGCTTCACCACAGCTTGTTGAGGATAAACAGCAAATGATGGTAGGTTTATATTTTTTAAAGCCTGTTTTCTTAAAAAAAAAAAAACAGTCTGCTGCATCTAGGCTATACATGTTTGATTAAATAATGCCATTGTTTAAAAGCAAGGTAGGCAAGTTGTTTCTAAAACACTTTTTGTCATATTTGTTGAAACTGTCAAATACACCAATACATATTAAATGCTCAGAAAAAGAGTATTAAAATCGGATCGTTCCATTCGGACCAAATGCAATGATTGGCTGGATCCCTCTCCCTCGCTACCATGGCTACCAGCCCTGCTGCTACAGGAGCTGCCCGTATGCGCGCACCCGGTCAGCTGTCAGACCTGACGGTGCAAAGCGGTCAGACCGGAGGTAACATCTATGTGGCTTTTCACAGACAACTGGGGTACCCCAAGGGGCTGAAAAGTTGCACCGTGGTCGCTTTATTTCTGCTGGACAGGTAATGTGGCGTTTTTTATTTTGATGATAATATGTTACTTTCATCGCTAACGTAGCTTCCTACTTAGCATGCAGCTAAGGATAGCTACGAATGTAGGCTGTTGTAGCGAGCTAGAGTAGAGATGATGAATTATCTGTAGCTACAGCTGAGTTGGAAAACAGCAGGGCAGCTGAGATCTGTGTTTGCTAACGTTTGGTAAGACAATGTAGGTGTAGACCGCGCCAGTTTATTTATTCACCACCTAGGTTTATTGTTATACTGTGTTTACACCTATATTTACTTGTATCTAATCTGTTTGGTATTGTGTCTGCAAGGTTTTTTGACTGTATGTTACTCTTATATCTTTGAACAAGAAATTTTACAAATGTAGTGATGTAGCTGTGTGTATTTGGAGTTATGAGAACGACATATCAACGTTAGTGTGGACTTGCTAATTACTCTATAAGAGAACAATGTCAGGTATTACAAACTTTTCACAAAGCTGATACTCATTTCTGTATTATCAGGTACAGCAAAGTGTACAACAAAAAGTCCAGGAAATGTAGATTGTACTCACTGAAGGTAAAGATGGACTACAGTTACATCGCAGACCTCCAGAGTGAGGAGACCTGATGATACCCGTCAACATAGGGTTCAGGTGTCCCTGGCCCAACTGTATTCCTAGATACAGCAAAATGTACAACAAAAAGTAATATGCTTGGTTTTGAAATGTGGTAATCATGTCAGAGAGGCAATTGTGATATATTAAATTATCTCCACAGCAGCGATACAATGTAAAGTCTGAACTGTCTTCATAATCAGTCAAGATACAATACCTCTGGACACACCTTGTCTTTCTTCCTGTATATACTTATTTTTAATGATGTTTAAAAATTATCTATTTGTGATATAGGTTGTAGTATATAATAACAATAAACAAGTGTTACCACTTATTGATGTCATTATTATAGACGTAAGACATTATGCTGCAAGTGTAAAGAAAAGGCATTTATCATTTTCAATGTTATATTTAAAAAAGAATGAAACTATTATCCAGAACAAGTGCAGGTATTCATCCACACAGTGGATGGAATTTTTTGTGTAGCAGTTACTGACATTGCATCTTTAACCCTGCTAGGATTAAACCTCTGCATTGTCCTAGTGGATCAGGATAACAGTTGCATATCTTCCAGAAACAGCAACTCAGTATCACAACACTGTGACCAAGTGCTCCACATTGCCACACTACAAACTGTCTGTTCCAGGGTGTGAAGATCAGCCATGTATGGTGCATGGAAACACAGTAGTCTGGATGTTGTCCACAGTCCTCAGATTCTGGCCTGTAAAGGAATACCCCAAATTGGAAAGCTTGGTGTAATTTGAAAGAACATTCATCAACATTATCAGATATTTTTTTTGAACAGGGGTTTGTTGTTCTCTAACAGGACTTCTGTGTCTACATTACACGCCAGGTCAATGTACATAACACAGATGAGCCAATGGCTGAAGCAGAGCTGTACTTATTTTTGGCGCAATCAGTAAACAATAAAAAAGTAATAACAATAGTGATGGATTACATTTATATAGCACTTTGTCTTTGACACCCAAAGGGTTTAGGGGGGGAACAAAAGAGAAACTTTGAGACAAGTACACTGGGAAATAATATACTAATATTAAAATATACATGTGTATATATATATACCTGTTCATATGCCGTTGTTGGAGCGTGAAGCTCGACGCAGGTCTAGAATATGTGCTGCTTGGCTTGCACCTCGTCCTCCCCATCTTGCCTCTACTTCCTTGGACCTTGGCTGCCCTCCCTCCTCTGCTTCGCCTCGACCCTGGTCCTGTCCCGGTCTGTGATCGTCTTTGGGATGCAGTCCTCATCAGAGACAATAATGCTGTCACCGTGGAAGCTCTAACATGCAAAACAACGTACATGTTATGAACATGGAAATTCATGTTCGTGTAGTGTAACTGATGGTAACGGGAAAATGTGTATCAGCCGGTTTTTAGCTTTGCCCAGTGTTACTGCAGCTGTTAGCACAGCCGCTACCTGTTGCTAACAGTTAGCAAGCCAGCTCGTTACTGACTCAAATTCAGTCTTTTCAAACCTATCCAGAA